CAGGTCGCGGCCCGCGGCGCCGCCGCCGGCACCCGCCAGGTACGGGCTGGGGCGGGAGGGACTGTCTGTCCGCCCGCGTCCGCCCGGCTCTCTGACTCTGCTCTGTTCCGCAGCGCGGCCCCAGCGGCCCCGGTGCCGGCGGCGCAGCCGGCACAGCCCGGGCTGATGGCGCAGATGGCGAGCACGGCGGCGGGAGTGGCCGTGGGCTCCGCCGTGGGGCACGTCGTGGGCAGCGCCCTCACCGGAGCCTTCAGCGGCTCCTCCGAACCGCCCAAAGCGGCGGTGCCCGCGCAGGTAGGAGCCGGGCCGGCGGGCGGGGTGACCTTGTGCCGCCCTTGTGCGGGGCCGCGCCGCTGCGGGACGGCCTGAGAGCCCGGAGCTGCGGCTCACCGCGTCGCGCCCGCCCGCAGGAGCCCCGGCAGCAACCCGCTGTGCAGCCGCAGTCCCCGTACGGGCCGTGCCACTACGAGATGAAGCAGTTCCTGGAGTGCGCTACCAACCAGCAGGACCTGACCTTGTGCGAGGGCTTCAGCGAGGCCCTGAAACAGTGCAAGTACAGCAACGGTGAGCGCGTGCTGACCCCGATGGGGGGCTGCTGTCAGGACAGGGGCTGAGGGGGTGCGAAGGTTGCTGAGCAGCCTGCTGTGTGGCCTCAGGCCTTCTGTTTGGCAGTGGTTCTGCCCTTCCTGTGCCCTGGAATGCTGCAGGGAGCTGTGAAGGGCAGGGAATTGCCCTCACTGCCCCTCGGGGGGGGGTCACACAGGTGCTCTCCTCTTGTTGCCCTGAGAACCATGCTGCTGTTAGTGCACTGCTTCCTAATGCCTTCTGAGTTTGTTACTGGCAGATTTCAGTGACTGTGTCTCAGCTTAGGCTGATCTACTTATGTTGGAGAGCACTTGCTAATTGCTGCTGACCTTGTGCTTTCTCCCCTGCAGGTGTTTCTTCTCTCCTGTGAAGAATCTGCTCCCCTGTAGGAAGGAGAAGAGCTGGTGTAGAGCCGTGTTGCCTGCAGGGAGTGAAGGAAGGACAGACAGGTGCTGAGCTGAGGGAACGGCTGGGAGAGGAGCCCTCTAGTGGTCTTTCACTTCTGGACTAGTAGGGAAGGAAAAGAACAGTTGAGGCTGTGGAAATTAGTGCTCTATGTATCATGGAGAAATAAAGAAGCTTATTTGGAAGTACTACCTGTGCATGTTCCTTATTTAACACGACGGCTGAAATCAAGCTAGCTAAATATTACCTGTTACCTGCTTACGGCGCGAGGCACGTGTTTGCATAACTTCTGCAGACAGGAGCTGCAGCCCGGCTGGAACTGTACCTGTGTGACTTGGTGAAAGTAGATAGCACAGCTCAGGTGGGGTTGGCAGTGCTGCAGACAGAGCAGAGGCTGGAAAGGTGATAGGAGATGTCCTGCAGTGCTTCAGAAGTGTTTGCATGGATAACCTCTTCCTGAAGAGCTGTTCTGACGAGCTGGCAAGGTGTGACCTGTGTGACTGGGATGTGTTTGGCTGCTCTTGCTTAGTGTGTTATGCAATGTTCTCAAGGTCATCAGCATCAAGCAGAGTTCAGGGCTGCTTTCTATTTACAGTCATGGCAGCAGAACAAGTCTCATTACTGCTGCCTGCATGCTGTCTTTGGGAGATTCTGGTTCTTATCTTAGATCACTCCATATTCCTTATTACACAGCAGTGAAAATGTAACAATTTCAAACACTTGACCTGTGAGCTTTCACGTCAGAATGGATCTGGAAACTCTGCTGACCTCCAGCTGCTGAACGCTGAGCAATTTCTGGGCCTTGCTGGAGTTTGGAGTTGTGAAGAAGTCCAGATGGAGATACTTCAAGTTGGCTGCAGTGTTTGAAGGTGCTGCCCCTTTCAAATGTCAGAGCCTAGATGCTTGGTAGTAGACGGTGTCCTGAGCTGCCCTTATCCTCTCCCAGTGGTGCCTTGTGCTCTTCTGAGAGACAGCCAACCTCAGTTCTGCACTGCAGCTCTGGCTGCTGCCTGAATTCACCTGTTAGAACCAGAACAGCCGTGGAGCTGTGCAGAGGGCTGTGATGTGGAGCAGGGCTGTCCCATGGGTGGTGTGTGAGGGGAGCCATGCCTGCACCATCAGCTCCCATGGAGATGAGATGGGTGCCTGGCCCTTGCCTGCTAGCTCAGAGTAGTGTTTCCCCTCCTTCCCCAGTAAGGATTCATAGCAGATAGCTGCAGTGCTTTCTCTTCCTGACAGAATAGGAAAAGTGAATTAATCTCTTCACTAAAACCTGAACTCAACGCTTGTAAATGGGACAGGAGGCTCCGTTGTGAGAAGTTCCCTGCCTCAGATGCTTTTAATGTGAGCTTGTTTCTGTGCAGCCTGCCAATAACTACTGGCTGAGAGCCCTCTTGGAAGCTGCATCATGGTTTCCAGGTGGTGATGAGGTTTCCCTGGTGTGTGGGAGTTATCTGAAATGCTGTGCAACGCTGCCCACCCTGAAGCAGACCCCTCGTGGTGCAGTGGCTGAGCTGTGCCACCTCGCTGAGAGCTTACATCTCTGGTGAGGATGCAGCACTGCCTTTCACAGCTTACTGGCAAATTCAGATGTGGTTTTTTCTGCTTTGCTCAAGTTCATCTGCATCCCACATCACCCACAAGATCAAAACAGTCTGCAGAGAGGGATGTGGTGAAGAAGGTTCAGAGGTATTTCCTTGGCAAATTAGTGCTATAAAGGGGATGTACTGAGGTCTAGAGGGGGGAGGTACGCTTTATCTGCATTTTGGGATAGCCTGCAACTCTCATGCAACCTGTTACCCTTGGCTGCTTCTTTAAGGGAGAATGTCTGTCCCGGTGGTGATCACTGCTCACACGCTGCTTGGTGCCTTCTGTCCCAAACTGGCACTTCTTCAGGTGAGCAGTGAGGATCAGGGTGCAGCACTGCAGGTTCACCACCTCCTGGCAGTTGGCTGTAAGCAGAGAATGAGATCTGTGTGATTGCCTTGGATCCAGGCCCCCACCAACACAGCTGGGAGCTGCCTGGTTGCAGCCAGCAAAGCTGAGGTCCCTGCAAGGCCTTTCAGCAGCACTCTGAGCTGCAGCATTACAGGCCATCCTGCCGGTGGGTGATGCTGGAAATGCTTCAGCTTAGGAGCTGGGATGAGCATTCTGATTCTGCAAAACTATTCTGCTTCATGAAATACCTACGTCCTTTAACTTGGTCTCATTAAATCAGAGTAGGAAATATCTAAGAGCCCTGTCTCTTGCTGTTCCGCTTCCAAGAACTTGTCCAGGTCACAAGGGGAAGGAGTTAAATCTCAGCTGAGTCATTCTGGATGGTTTGGCCATGATCTTTCACCCAGTGTCACTACAGAAAACTGCCAGGGCTGACCAACGTCAGCAGTCAGTGCTGGGCATCCAGCTCAAATAGCAGAGGGAGCAAAAGCTTTGGACCACGTGCATCTGGCAGCTTCAGCAGTGAGTGCTTCAGGTCAGGCAAAGGCTGCCTGCCAAGTGTGGGAATGTCAGCACAGCCTGCTCGTTCCTTCCCCTGCTGCATGTGCTTGCACTCCGAAGCTGAGGGCCAGGATTAGAGCAAGGGGAGCCCTCCCATAAACCCGGGAGCAGAGGTGCTGTGCTGGCAGCTGTCATTGCCCAGTGATTTTCTGGCTCCATTCAGACCAGCAAAGTCCCCGCTGGCAAGATCTCAGAGCTGCAAGGCTGGAAATGTGCAGGGAGGACAACCTGGGGCCGTTCCACCACTCATGATCTTGGCTGCTGCTCAGTAACCAACCCCTTGCTCGGCCTCCCTTCCTGCAGGTAGCTCAACTCTGTGGCATGGCTTTCCTGTGTGACTCATCGTGCAGGGGTTAAATGTGTCCATCATCCTTTTTTTTATAATAAATAAATAGGTAAAGGATGCTGATGTGCTCTGGTAGAGCTCTTATGCCCTGCTCCCTGACCTCTGCACTGCTGTGCACATAGTTCCCTCTCCAGGGGGCTGCTGCCAGGCACCCAGAGCTGAATCAAAGCCGTGTTTTCCCCACATACACTGCCTGCGAGCAAACACAACACACACAGCACTTGCCAGAGATGTGTGGGCTGCTCATGCTGGGCGCCGTCCTGCAGGAGGTGGAGGTAACAAAATGTGCAGCAGCTGCATCTTCCACTGAGTTTCCAGATGTTGCCATATAGATGTTTCCCCAGCAGTGCTTGCAGGTGCTGTAGCATCATCCCCTTTTCCTGTGGAGATGCCAAGATGTGCAGGTGAAATCCTGTCCCACAGCTTGGCTGCAGAGCACCTGAATGGTGGGAACCAGTATTGATGCCGTTCCAGGGAGTGATCTGCAGAGCTGTGCTGTGTCCCAGGGCCACGGACAAATTGCCTTTCTCCACATCTCCCCTCCTCACACAGAGAAAGGTCCTGAAAGGGTGCAGAGGGTGCATGTGGGCAGAGCTGTGCTCACCGCTCTGTTTATCTCACTTTTCCCACGAGGAACTGTGAAGCCACAGAGCAGAGTGTAAGGCTGATTAGCAGTAGCCTCAGAGCTGGGGCTGGTGGTGCTGCAGCTCTCACTACTGGGCTAGCCTAAAACCTTGTTTTCCTGTGACCTTGGTTTCCAGATCAAACATCTGAGTGCTCACATCCGTTTTAAGTGATGCCTCACTGTGCTGCAGGTTGCAGCAGCTGCTGCTGTACCAGGCTATGGAGGACTCATCTTTCCCCTTCGGGTGGTACAGCACAGGTCTTGTGAGCACTCACATGTGAGCCAGTGGATGACTGGAACAAGGAGGGTTGTTTGGGTTCCCCTGGGTCACGTTCCAAGGCACCAGGACAGTTCCCGTGCTAGCGCTTGGTATTTCTGCTCTCAGGGAGGTGATTTAGAGAGCAGCATGTGTCTGGAGAGTCCCTGGAGTAAACAGAACAAGCACAGAGAGCATGTTCCTGTAAATAAAAAGCTGCTTATTAAAGGAAATTGCCCCCTTGCTCCAGCATTAGCACCCCTGCCCTGTGGCCTCAGCCTTGTGCTGAAGGCAGCTTGGTGGGAAGCTGGAGCAGATGGTGAAGCATTATGAAGGAGCTTTGCCCCCTGCCCCCAGGGCCGCGGCTGCCTGCTCGCAGGCTTTTCTCCTGCTTCTGAATGCAGGGAACAGGGAACAGACCGGGGCCCCTCTTTAGCTGAGAGGCCTCGAGTGACCCCACGCCTCTGGGCAGACCCCAGCACGGCGGTGCCTGCAGCCTCCCGCCCCCTGGATGCGGTCTGAAGCAGCGACGCGACATGGACAAAGCCATGCTGCAGGACGAGGCCGGCTGGTGCTGCAGCTCTCGGTGGAGCTGTTTCACACCGTTCTGCGCGCTGGGCGGGCGGTACCTCTGTGCGAGGTGCAAAACAAGGGGCTGCCTCCTGTCTCCGCTGCCGGCAGGGCATGGCGCTCACCCTCTCCTATGTGCTGCTCGCCTTCCTCACCCTGCTGCTCCTGTCCTGGGGTAAGTGCCTGCTCTGTTCTCTCTCCCTGGTGGGAAGCACTGGGACTGTCCCACTTCAGCCCTTTCGCTGGTTTGGGTTTTTTTGGGGTGGATGTTGCTTTGAAACCATTACTCCCTCGCACTGCTCGTGATCCCGTTATGCCGGGTCTCTTCAGAGCCTACTGAAATCAAGGCAAGAAAGAACAAACAGCTCCTGATGTATTTTGAAAAAGTTTCTGGATGCTGAACAGAGAGATGGACAGAAACACCCAGTGGCACTTAACGTGCAGGAGCTTGAGAACATCCATTTGTTGGACATGATCTAGTGTGCTAATAGCCAAAAAGAAAATAAGACTGCGAGGTTGTGACAGTCCCTGGGGTGAAATGTTCCCTACTGCTTCCCCACTGCTTATTCATCTCTTGAAATCTTACCTTCTGCAGAGTCATTACTGTCTGGTAGCGCTGGGTAGGAGCTGTGCTCAGCAATGCTTCCTGTTCTTTCTGAGTGGGAATGCACAGGCCACAGTAACTGGGGAGGGGTCCTGAGGCTTTAGGGACCACTGAGCATGCAGATGATTCCCAGGCTTCCTGTGGCTCTGTCTGGAGCTAGGGAGAGAGGTTTAGGGCTGGGAATTTCAGTCAGGGCATCCATGTGCCCTGTGAACCCCCAGAGAGATGAAGGTGGTAGGGCAGCTGTCAGGCCTGCACCAAGGGGCACTTGCACAATAGCTGAAGCAATCACTATGGTGTGGAATGGAGTGAGAGTGACTGTTCCCTGCCCAGGAGCAGGAACTGGAGCTCAGGACAGATTTCCAGCTCTTATTTTCTGTTTTAGGTTCAGGGATTCTCAAGAGTCAAGTGGTTCTTGTGACAGTAGGAGAGCCCGTGTCGATGGAGTGTCCTTTCCACAAGTACAACGGCACTAGCAATCCATTCTATGAGATCCTCTGGAGCCATAGGAATGACTTGAGAAGGGTCCTGCAGTTTAGGATGACACGGTCCAACCAGTCCTGTGTGTATGACAGCAAAGGCCGCTTCAGCGGCGCTCTGGATTTTGGAAGCAGCGTGAGCTTTCTCAACATCTCAACCGTGCTTATGAATGACACTGGCCCTTACTTCTGCTACGTGAAGATAGGGAACAGCGATCCGACTACAAAGATGATTTTCCTGCTCGTGAGAGGTGAGCCCGGCTCTTTCTTTCAACACTGCACTCTTGTGTCCCTCAGAACTGTGGTCCTCTCCAGTCTGAGTGGTTTCACAAAGCCTCTGGGAAGTGTTAGCGCTGTTGAATTGAGCTCGGTGGACAAGGGACCTGGCCACCCCTATGAACCTCTTTTCTTTGCAGGTCAGCAGCCCTGGGCGGCCCCTGGGGACCTCAGCTACTCTGCACTTCAGGGCAGTAAAGTCACCTTGGACTGTGATTTCCCCACTAACCTGACTGGCAACTTCACAGACCTCTTTTGGCTGCACAAACGAGACCAGAGCCCATCCCGACTCATAGCATGGCACCTCAGGTCCAGTTTCCAGGTTGAGAACGGCAGCATTGGAAGTCGTTTCCAGAGCTCATTAGATCTGGAAAATGACCGGAGCCGTCTCACCATTACTGGGTTGGAAGAGGAGGACAGTGGCTGGTACCAGTGTCAGAGAGGCCTGGGAGAGCCGTCTGGCGGGCAGAGAGGGAGGGGAACCAACCTCACTGTGAAAGGTGAGTGTGTTTCCAGGGACCTCATGGCGCAACTGAAAATCCTTCTGCGCCTCTTAGCCTTTCTATGTCAGTCACTCCATCTCATCTATGGGTTCAGTGACAGGATGGGTGTGAGTTTTCTCATCTAGGACACATCTTACTGTGCAGGGTGCTCCTCATTCACCTTGCCACCGCCCTGTTTGGGGAGCTGGGGAGTGCAGGTAGGCAAGAGCTGGAGCTGCATCTGCAGCACACTTGTACCTGCATTGCCTGAGGGGGCTGGCAGCCCCAAGTACAAGCTGCTGTTATGGTGCAATGGCAAGGCTTTGCAAAGTCACAGAACATCAGTGCAAGATGCACAGATATATTTAAAGCACCCACACAACCACAGAAGTTCATCTGCGAGGTTATGTGCCTGTTGCTGCAGATGTTATCTGTAAAAGCTGTTGATCGCTGGTGATGTGACTCTTCCATGAACAAATTTAATCTGTACCTAATGACAGCATAGATTTTTAATGCATGCAGTTTAGTGTGCAAAGCATCTTTTATCCAGTGTAACTCAGTCACAAAACCCGGCCCGGCCAATTAACACGGTTAGTTAAAATTACACAGTAATTTGGGCTCACCATGACTCACCTGATAAATATATGATGTGAGGATAAAACATGACCCTGTCTTGAGCTGTGGGACGTGCCATGTCTGTGCTGATTTGGAGCCAAAAGAAATGCGACTCATATTTCAGAAGACATTCTTAAAAGTTAGGCTGGTTCCTTGTGTTTTTCTTTCTGCATCCTCATGCTGAGAGAAGCACCCTGCATGACAGGATGGGCACAGCCTGCCTGCTCCATGCTGTTAGCCTTTTTTTCTTCAGTGTCTTACTCGCGTTTCAGAGCTGCAGAGATCAGAGCCTGCTGCGTTTTCACTGAAACCACAAACCCTCTTGCAGGTTTGCACATCCCAGTAGATATTACAATATGAACAGCACAAGTACCAGCTTACGTTCTCCTTTCTAGGCTCTTCATCTGTCCTGCTGGTGTGTTTGAGGAGCGCTGTGTTTGCTGCGATTGCTCCGTGCTTGTATGTTCTGTGTAAGTAATACTGGGCAAGGAACACATCTCCACCCAGACAACACCTCACACCTTACAGGGGCAGTGGCCAGCTCTGTGAGAAAGCTGGCTCTTCAGCAGCATGGCCTGGTCCAATCCCTCCTCTGATTTATGTTGCCCTCTGCTGACACCTCACTGCATGCCCTGTGGTCTCAGCCAGGTGTGATGCACTGGGAACAGCAGTGACTCATCTGAGTGGCACTACATCATCAGGTCACTGCTGTCCCATGCTGTCACTGGGAGGAGTGCAGCAGGAGGCTGAAGGCTTCTCCAAGCCCTGGTAAGATGTCTTTTGGCAGTTAGCATGATGCAGGATTCAGCCAGAGGAACTGCCTTTGGACTGTAAGGAGTAAAGCGGACCTTTATAGCGGGGAAAAAACTGTCAGCAAAAAACCTTTGTGATCTGCCTCTGTGAGCAGAGACTGCAGTATAACTCATTTGTGCTATTTCAGCATGGGCTGCTTCTGCAGAGCTGTGAATTCTCTCTGCTCTGTTTCAGACAGGTGTTATGTCCAGCTGAAGAGACAGAACACCTTGGCAGATGGACTGCATCCCCACTGTGGGCCTTCAGAGACCATGGGCAGGGAGACCACGAGCAGGGAAGCCATCTACGTCAGCACTGGCAGCACGGAGTACAGCGTGAGTGTGGCCCCAGGCATCACAGAGCTCTGGAGGCAGCCAAAGCCCAGGGATTGCTGATTCCCCGCTGCAGTGGTACAGGAGCTGGTGGCCAGGAGCCCTGAGGAGGAAGCTGTGGCCATGCTCCTGCCTTGCATGCGGGACAGCAGCAGATGTGAGGTTCCTCTGCTGCCATGGGGTAACCAAGGCCGTTTTGTTTGTTCACAGCTCCTCACTTTCCCAGGAAGGAACCCTGCAGCAGGGGACGTGGGACAAAGATGACAGCCCAGAAGGGCCCAGCAGGACACAGGGATCTGTGCTGCACATGCTGTGTTCATGGCACCATGGATAATTCTTCTCCATTGTGTATCATGCGAAGGTCTCTAGCAAACTCCTCTCTCCTTCAGCAGTTGTTTCTCCTGTTCAATTAAATCCTCTTGAGAGCAAACCCTGTGAATGTTTGTTCAGTTTCTGCTGTACTTGGCTGTTTTGGCTCCTGGTGGAACTGGCTTTTGGCTACTGTGCATCTAGCCTAGCTCAGACAAAATCTTGCATTACCCTCTAGGGCTGTTACCACCTGCCAGACACAGCCACATCCTCCTCCCATGGAGGAAATGCTCGGCTGTTTTTTGGGGTGGAGCAACGCCTACATGGCAGCTTTTCTTGCTGAAGGAGGGAGGGAGAGGTGCTGTTGTCTGTGTTCTTACCGCTGTCCCCTCAAGAATGCAAAATTCTGGAGCAGGGAATAAAGCACCAGTTCTCACTGTCGTTGCCAAACCAGCTGCTTGGGCAGCTGTGGTGCTGCATCAGTCAGTGCCTCTGGGCTCAGCTGATGCATGGCACAAGGCAGAAGAGGTGAAGGCCTTCCGAAACAAGCCTCTATTGTTGTGACCTTGGTTTTGTGATCAAATCTCTCTGTGGTTGATGAAATCACATCAAGATGATTGTGCTGCTTTTGTTTAAGGTGGTATTTGGGTTTCCTCTGCCACCTCACAATTTCCTCTGATATGTGCTGGCTGTGGCAGAGCACCACAGCGCTCTGTGCCCATGCTGATGAGGCTGCTGCTCTCAGCAGGGTGTTTCATAACCAGTTGGGTATTTCTGTTCCTCGTGGGATGCATCCAGAAAAACCCTGCCTCCACTCCACTTTGGAGTATCCTGCTGCCTCCTGTGCTGCAGACACACCATGCTTTGAGGTGGTCATGTTACAGTGGCTCTGAGGAGCATCGGCCATCACTTTTCACTCTTGTTTTTCTCTCACTCCTCCCCAGGGAGACTGTGTCACAGAAAATTGGTCAAGGTCACATAGAGGGAAGTCACTGCTTTTGTTAGACAAACTGATATAGAAGGTGGAAAAAATAGATAAGCCGTTGGGCACGTGAGCCCCTGTTGAGAGCACTGCAGCGTGTCACCATAGTGTCTGGTTTGTTGTGCCACACCTGTCCATCTCTGGGACCAAAGATGCAGTGCCAGGGTGGCCTAACAAGACAGGACCCTTCCCAAATCTCATGGCTCTGTTTTCCCTCCCTCACAGCCAGAGCACAACTAGGGCTGTGTGGAGAACTTGCAATCATCTCTTGGGCTTGGAGATGCCTTGGGAGCTGGGCTGCAGAGTCTTCTTGCACTGTGGTGGTGGTAGACAGGTGGGCCTTCACCCCTGTTGACTCTGGCAGCTTTTTGCTTTTCCAATCTGTAGTCCTTCTGCAGTGGGCACCAATTGTGCAGCAGCCAGAGCCCCTGAAACCATGTCCCTCTGGTAGGCTGATCAGGGTTCAGTGTTGACCCCACTCTGTACCCTGTTTCTGGGGAGGGCTGCATATCTAAGGATGTGACTGGAAGTGAAGATGCATTGGGACCCTCACCCCAATGATTAGAGCCCGACTGCTAAAGCTCCGTTGCAGCAAATAGAGCAGTGCGGTGAGCTGGAGTCCCCCAGCCCCTTGTGTCATTTACATATGCCTCACCAGCACAAGCAGCACACACAGTAACCCGGGCTTGTGCAGCACTGCAGTCTGTCTCAAAACAGCCTCCAGTCCTCTGCTCCTGGATCCTACCATGGTCCTGGGCTTCATGCTCCTGTTGCTGGTGGGGACAGCAGGGTCAGGTAAGATCAGCAGCATAGCTGCACTGACACTGGGGATGGCAGGCAGGACTGAGCTTTGCACAGGGGACCATCAGCTAAGAAGGGCAGTTTGTTCCAAGCATGGAGTGACCGTTGGGTATGGGCAATGGGGATGCCTCATGGGGGTAGGGGAATGTTTTGAGGCTGGGGGTGTCAGGACGCAGCTCCGTATCAGTAACCACATCCTTGGTGTGCGCAGCCTGCAGGGCCCAGCCGGTGCTGACCCAGCCAGCTGCCGTGCAGGTGCTGCCTGGGGAAACTGCCCACCTGTCCTGTGTCCTCAGCCCCCAGTACAACATCAGCGACTTTGGCATCACCTGGTACCAGCAGCGCCCAGGGCAGGACCTAAGGTACCTGCTCTACTACAACTCGGAGCGAGACAAGCACAAGCCCGCCAGGATTCCTGATCGCTTCTCTGCTACCAAAGACCTTGCCCTCAACGCCTGCATCCTCATCATTGCTGCTGCCCAGGAGGAAGACAACGGTCGCTATTTCTGCTCATTGCCCCTCACCACCAACTGGCTGTAGAAGCAGGGAGCAAACCCAGCTAGCTCACCCCACACAAATATGATGCGATGCTGTCAGCAGACAGAATGGCAGCCGCAGAAAGAACGGACAAGGCCTCCCTGCAGGCTGAGGATCTGGCGTGGTTTAATAATGGTAATAAATGTAATCAGTACAATAAATGTAATAAAGATTTGTCCTCACACGCTGTTTAGTCTCTAAATAGCCTCGGACCTCACGCACCCCCCACTCCCCCGCCGCCATTTTGTCGCGCCTCACGCACCCCCCCTCCCCCTCGTCCGCCATTTTGTCGTGCCCCTCTCCCCTTCACAGAAGTCTGCACTCCCCTCACGGTTCCCTACCGCTTCTGAGGGAAAAGGACGGGTGTAATTGCAGGGGCATTGCTGGGCTCTTTGTACGAACGCTGTCACGCAGGGGGGTACTGCGTTTTCTATTAAATTCTCACAGATAACTTTCACAGCGCGAAGAGAGCAACACCCCAACGCTTCGCGCCCAACGCGAAGACAACGGCCGCGCCTCCGCACTACGCATGAGCAGCACAGCCGGGCACGCACTGAGACTGGCTTTGGGGGCGGGGCCAGAGCTGTATTGCGGTGTCACGTGGGGCAATTCGAGAGCTGCCATTGGCCTAGGGGAGGAGAAAATGAGGCGCGCTACTTCCTTGCTACTGTAGTGCGCGTCGAGGGTAACGGGTTGGTCGGAGCTCTGTGGTGGAGCAGGATGGTGAGCGGGGGTCTTGAGGCCGCCTCCTTGCCCTGCTGGGCTGGCGCGGTGGCTCCGGGACCGGACTTTAGTGGTGTTTGGTGTGGTGCTCGCTGTCCTTTGGTGTCACTGGGTCGTGAATTCCTTCAGCTGGGTGGTGAGAGCCCATGGGTGTGTCCTATTAGGAGTAGTCCTGGGGTGCAGTGTGGGCTCTTTGTGTGTGTTGAGGGTGCTTCCCTGGAAGCTAATTCTGGAAGAAATCCCTGCTGCCTCTGTAAAAGTTGTTGGAAAAATCAAATGCACTGGAGCTGCTGACTGCTTTGTACTATTGAGTGATATGGTTAAAACTCTCTCTTTCCTCGTGCTGTGTGTGAAGCTGGTGTTAGTGCTAGGAGACCTGCACATCCCACACCGATGCAGTGGTCTGCCAGCGAAGTTCAAGAGCCTCCTGGTTCCGGGGAAAATTCAGCATATTTTGTGCACAGGAAACCTCTGCACCAAGGAAAGCTATGACTACCTCAGGACTTTGGCTGGGGACATTCATGTTGTTAAGGGGGACTCTGAGGTAATGTTCTCGCTGTTGTTAATTCCTGTCCTCCATCTTGCAAACCGTAGTTGTCCCATTGAAACCTGGGAAGACCTTCAGCATTTGCAATTCACGACCATGAAGGTGTGGGGCTAGGAAGTAGGAATGAATAAGGCTGAAGAAGCAAAATGATTTTCTAGGCTTTTCTTATTGCACCTGTGGTAAGGGAGGACTTGATGTGTAGTGGTGATACGTGCACTCAACTTCTCAAGTTCTGCATGAATCTGCTTATGATTGCTGTGATGTTCCTGCAGTCCTTCAGATTGCTGCAGGAATGGGGAGCTTCTTTACTGTTGAATAGCCTCGAAGCTCCTGCTCTCCATGTGGTTCCAGTCAGGCTCAAGATCCCAGTTCTTTGCTCTGCAGTTACTCTTCTTAATACATGGTGCAAGCATCTGGATCACTGTACAATCTTGGTAGTAAAAGGCAGACTTGTGTTGTGAACCTTCATTGTGTTGGTGAGGTACTCTGTCTGATTTCTAACTTGTGTATTTCTCTTTCTCAGAGTCTGAATTATCCTGAACAGAAGGTTGTAACTGTTGGGCAGTTCAGAATTGGGTTGATTCATGGCCATCAAGTCATTCCCTGGGGGGATGTCACAAGCTTGGCATTGCTACGGAGGCAGCTGGATGTAGACATTCTTATCTCAGGACACACACACAGATTTGAAGCATTTGAGCACGAAAATAAGTTCTACATCAACCCGGGATCAGCTACAGGAGCCTACACTGCTTTAGAAACGTGAGTGCAATGAGCCTTGAACCTCAGATGTGTATCTGCCCTTAAGAGTGCTGCCCAAGTGTTGCAGAGCACTGGTGAGATGCAGCACCAATGCAGGCCATCTCTTCCCTTCCCCCAAGAACGCAGCCTAGCTCCCACTGTTCATAAGGCTTTGATTAGCTCATGAGCTGGCCTGGACAGCCAGGCACTGATGCGTCATGGTCACAATCCTAAACCCATATGATGTTGTGATGCTGTTTCTTAGAGTTGCATTGCCTCCAGGTGTTTTCCAGAAGCTGTGTGCTGAACTTCTGTTGGGAAGGAGCCCCTCAGGGCACTGCCAGCATCTGAGCCTTCCAGAAGCTGGGACATTCAGCCCTGAGGGCTGCTCTGGCTAATTGCAGCCTCTGAGCTGTGGTACTTCCCAGATGACTGCAGCTCTTTGCAATTTAATGTTTTGTAATATATTTCCATAAGACATCTTGGTAAGAGGTGTAAGCTAAAAAGGGTGATTGACAAAGTATGTCTTTTTTTTTTTTTTTTTTTCCAGGAATGTCATTCCTTCATTCGTACTGATGGATATCCAGTCTTCCACAGTTGTGACTTATGTATACCAGCTAATTGAGGACGATGTGAAAGTAGAAAGAATTGAGTTCAAGAAACACTGATACGTGTTTGAATCTGCTCACCATCTCTCATTCCTCCTCTTTTAGTTAAAGCTGAATCCGGCCACATGGGGGTGCTGCTGCAGCAGCGTGTTGGGTTGTAAATCTGCAGCCACGTGAGCTTGTGAAGTTCACAAGTAGGGTTTAGAACAGGAGAAACTGAGTAAGAGAAATGGGCTTATATTTAAAAAAAAAAAAAAAAAAAAAAAGTGTGTGTATATATATATATCCTATATTTAAGAAGGAGGTGCTGTTGTTCCTGGCCTTGTGGAGTTGCAGCTAGTGGTTGCTTGGGACTGAACCTCTGTAAAATGAGCATAGAATAAAACAGTATTTTCATGTTTCTGGATCCTATTAATTGTTTGTTAACTGAGAAGAGGACAGGAATTCAGTCTCAGGGCTGGAAGGGAGCTGCTCTGTGCTTCCCAATGTGTACTACTGAAACCTCTCTGGATTTATCAGAGATGCTCAATGGCCTCTTAACAGCACTGACTATGGCACCTGACCTCCTGCTGCCTCCAGCCTCCCTTTCTGGCTGATATGCTTGTGTTGAAGAGCTGTGGGAGGCTGGTGCAGTGCTGTGGGTGAGGCTAGGCCAGCTAAATAGCCTGGGAGCTGGCCAGGGGACTTGGTGGGAGGAGCAGGGCTGAGGAATGATGTGAATAGCAGGTGGTGCTGCTGTTGTGAGGAAGAACGCTGCTTCTGCAAGTGCTGTGCAATGCAGGATGGCAAAGTGCTTCTGCTAGCCCTAGGCCCTTGCT